CGTGAGATCCTGATAGCTTGGCTGTGACTGCACCTAGAATATTGCTGTCAGGCACCTCTGTACTAGAAAGATACTGACAAACTGGAGGAGTTCACAGATTAACAAACGAAGAAGAAGAAGAAGAAGATGATGATGATGATGATGATGATCAGGGGCTGGAGGGACTGATTTCTGAGGAAAGATTAAAAAAGCTAACTATGACCCCGACCCTGCAAACACTTACAAATGTGTTTAACATTAAGTAGACGAGTAGTTCAATTGATTTCAATAGGATTGAGTAAAATTAATCACATGTCTACGGGTTTGTAGAATCAGGGTCTAAATCTATCTTGACTAAGGAATGACTACAGGAGGTAAATGATTGTCTACAAACACCGGTGGGATGCACTATTATTTATTATGAATAGACTGGCAGTGTGTTGGGAAACATAGTCCCTGTCTCAGACAAAGCGTTATTTATGGTGATCCATGGGGTATAACTAAGATGGAATGAAAGCAGAGAAGGGAAAATGTAGACCGAGAATCAGACAAATGAGATGGATTTGACTGTGGGATAGTCTCCCATCACTTAGATCCCATCACTTGGGTCATTTAAATTGAGGCTGGAGAAAACCCTAGGACATGGACAACAGAGAACAAACCTGCCTTGGCCCCAGGGAGAGAGATAAGATGTCCCAATTGGTCTTTTTCATCTGAGGAGATATTGGGCTAAATTATGTCTACTTTTTGTGGGTTTACTAGAGGGGAGAGAAAGTGTAGGGAGCCCTTTCCCTCCCTAGCTCTTCTGGGCAAGGGTCAGTCATCATCTGGCTCCCAGGGCTGTGGAGGATATGAGGTGACAGTTCTTTCTCTGCTTCCACAGAGGCAAAGTTGGCTGGAAAGCAGCTAATGCTGCTGGCAGTGCTAGTGCCCCTAAAATCAGCAGAGCCTTCAATCTGCCTAGCTATATATCTCCTCCCTTGTTGGTGTGGGTAACAGATAGGCTTCCTGCTTATTAGGACATTGGGTACCAACAATTGGCACAAGGCCTGAAAAGGCCAGTGTCCAAATTTGGTCCCAGAATTGAAGCACAGAATTAGTGGGGCAGTGAGGTGCTGTTTCTGTCCGTGCTGTGTCAGCACTGTGGATAGACCGAGGATGTTTCAGTGTCTTCTTGTGTTACTCTATTTCAGGCACATTACCTGGTTTCTTTTATAACTGATTTAGTCCAATTTTGTTAAGGTGGCCAGACAGGATACTGGGCTAGATGGACCTTTGGTCTGACCCAATATGGTGGTTCTTATGTTAGACAACCAAAGTCCTACAAAAGGATCATTCTTCCACTACTGAAATACAGCCACCGCCATGGTGGAAGTTGAGAGCCATTACTTACCAGGAACAATATACAACACTTTTTAGGCAGGGATGTTTAGACAAATTACAATTTAAAATAAGGTGGAATGGAGGCAGGCAGAATGTAATTACCCGGAGTGGAGTATGACCAGGATATCAAGATTAGCACCAATTCTCTTACAAAACATGCCATGGGATCTTTAGCAACCAGGGTCTCAGTTTTATGTCTCATCTGAAAGAACAATTCAAACCATTCTTTGTGCTATTGCAGCAAATCATCTACCAGAAACTAGGAGCTGCAGAGAGCAAAGTCCCTGAAAAGCTTGTAAACCTATTTGCTCTTCAGTATGAGCATGGACATGTTCTTTGGGCTCTTGAGGAAGATAGAAACCCTGATAATAAGAAAAACAAACTGCTCCTATGTCAATGGGAGCCAGTGGTAGATGCACAGGAACACCCAAGGGTAGGATGTGGCTCCAAGTGTGGAGATACACTGAGATCTACAACCAGCATTTCAAACCTCTTTTCTTATGCAGTGTTGGAACACAACAACATCCCTCTGACACACCACCATTGCAGCAGAATGTCAATGCTTTCAATAGCAATACTTAGCTATGCAGAGCAAAGATCTCCTAGTGCTTTACAAAGCCGGAGAGGTATCATTAGCTATGTTAGGAAAACTAATGTCGCTCAGGGGTGTGAAAAAAACACACCCATGAGCGACATACGTTTCGCTGGCATACGTGGCAGTGTGCACAGCGCTATGTCAGAACAAGGAGCAATGGTCTCAAGTTGCAGTGGGGGAGGTCTAAGTTGGATATTAGGAAAAACTATTTTACTAGGAGGGTGGTGAAGCACTGGAATGGGTTACCTAGGGAGGTGGTGGAATCTCCTTCCTTAGGGGTTTTTAAGGCCCGGCTTGACAAAGCCTTGGCTGGGATGATTTAGTTGGGGTTGGTCCCGCTTTGAGCAGGGCGTTGGACTAGATGATCTCCTGAGGTCTCTTTCAACCCTAATCTTCTATGATTCTTCTATGATTCTATGTTGGCGGGAGAGCTTCTCCCACCAACATAGCTATTGCTGCTAGTTGAGGTGGTTTTACTATGTCCATTGGGGAACTCTCTCCTGTCGTCACAGAGCGGCTGCGATTTTACAGTGGTGCAGGTGCATCGGTACAGCTGTGCCACTGTGAGCTTGCTAGTGCAGACATGGCCCAAGTGACTTGCCCAAGGTCACAGAGTTGCTTGACTCTCAATCCAGTGCCCCCCTATTCATTGGCCCATACCACCCCCGACAGTGTTACTGAAACACCGGGCAGCATGGAAAGTGCCTATTGTTTCATGAAGCCATTATGTTGCACAGCACTCAAGTGGTTATATGTATTTAGGTTTGGGAGCATTAAAAAGAGGAAGAACAGCAAAAGGGAGTAATCTGAAATCTCTCACTCCTCTGGGCTAGCACATTGGAGGCAATTCACTTATTAATGGTGATAGCTGAGACTGGCCTCTGATGCAGCTGCTGATTTGTCCCTGAACCCAAAGGAAAGTCAAAGGTTTAAAGGGAGTAACATGATGGGAACAAGAGGGACACTACTATACCAGTCTCAGCCTGGTTGAGGATGGTTGAGGAGAGAGATCTTGGGGAAAGAACTGTACAACTGAGAAGCTGAATCATCAGCAGAAGTGCCCGTGAAAGGCATTTTCAAACACCATGAGTATAATATCTTACATTTAGACCACATCCCTTTAGTTAGAAGGGTCCCACAGTGCCATTCCGACTACATATTATGAGCGTAAGTATAATATGCCCACCACTGACGTGCAGTCACTTTTGAGACAGAGCAATCGTTGCCCCTGGAAGTATTCCCATGGACTTCAAAGGGGCTACTTAAATGAGTAAAGGTTGCAGGATTAGCCCCTTCAACAGGAAATGAAAAATCACTTCACCAGTTGAAACAAAATGTGTCGTGTTATGTAGCAAAATATACTAATCCACAGTAGAATTTGGGGAAGTATTTGTGAAAAGTACCATGAGTCACATGGTCAGGAACAGATGTGTAGTCATGTTGCTTAACACACTACTGGAAGGCACTCAGATACTACAGGGATGAGCATGGTATAAGAACCTATACAGAATAGAATAGAATAGAATAGAATAAGGATTCAATACCATTGTTTTTTGAACCTCTGGAGAGGGAAGAGTGCCACCTACTAAACTGTCAGCAGCACTCTGGGTTTTTCTTGGTAGTCTTTTACCAAAATACTGACCAGGCTGGACTCTGCTTGGTTATCAGATCTGAGCTAGTAAGGGCTGCAGACACTAGAGAAGAGTTCAAATCAGAACATCTGTCAGAAGCTCTTTGTACTTTCAAGAAGTTTGAATCTGGATACAAACTTCACAGCTCACAGTCATCTCTAGAAGGCAGGTGGCCCACAAGGGAAGCAGAGAGGGGAGAGAGAGAGAGGTGGCATGTGTACAACAGCACATTTATAACATCTCGTCACAGCATATTGATATTCTATACCTTATCCCACTTCAGCATCACTCCATCGCCCAACCAGCCTCAGGAAATTCTCACTGAGACCATCATCCCCTCACACCCCAATCTAGAGTGAACCCACCTGCCATGGGAGCTAAGAGAACTTAATTGTTTAAACCAGCTGAACGATTTGTGCAGCTGACCTTGCCTGTCTCCATTCCTGTTCTTACCTCTTTAGGCATTTCTTTTGGGAAGAAGAAATAAGGGATGGCAGATAAGGCCACGAGAGTGGCTGCGACCAGGAAGCCGAGCCACCAGGCTCCAACCCATCGGGGATCTTTGTTAGTGAGCTGAACTTCCTCTGAAATACAAGCAAATAAACACAAAATAGAAACACAGATGACGGGAAGAAGTGAGGGCCACCACTGTCTCCACCTCTACCCCTCTGACTGCAGGAAATAGGTTCTATTGGATGTGTCCATCTGTCCCTAACAAATGAATTTTGCTCAGTGCTCCAGAGCAGTGGCTCCCACGCTGGGGGCTGTGGATCCCTGGAGGTCCGCAGAACATTTGCTGGTGGCCCATGGAGAGCTGACCGATCACATCATGCTGAATCTCTTCCTTGCTTCCACCTGCTAAATAGCATTAAAGGCAGCTAGAAATCCACTAAATAATAAATGTTAATTTAAGCATCTGATTTTAGGCACCCAAGTGTGAATATTTTGGCTTTAATAACTTGGCTACTCTCAGTGGTCAAGCCAGGAGTAGGACCCAGGAAACCACACTCCCATTCTGCTAGTCTAAACAGTTAGACAACACTAGGGTGACCAGACAGCAAATGTGAAAAATCGAGACTGAGTCGGGGGTAATAGGAGCCTATATAAGAAAAGGACCCAAAAATCAGGACTGTCCCTATAAAATCAGGACATCTGGTCACCCTATACAACACTCCCTTTTAAGTCATCTCCAACATACAGGCCAAATTGACCAATTTTACAAAATCCTTTGGTAACATCCATCTCTTCCTCCCCCTCTGCTTTTTCCTCTAGTTCGAATGACTATTGTCCCCCTGGTTGCATGACCAGACAGAACATCTGGAATGTTTTTTTTCCCCTTTCCCATGAAGTAAGAGCAGCACCCTGCCAAAGATTACATACACTGTGCGAAGGGTAGTTGGCCTAAATAAAACATGATCTTCAGAAGTCAGGATGCAATTTCTCAATACGATGAGTTTAAACCAGGAAATATTTCTACGGATCATGGAATTCTTGCGGTTAGATATTAATTTTAAGCCTAGTTCTAGGAAACTAGTCGTAAAGGAGAAGTGAACAGCATCTCTTACACAACTGTGATGTAATAACCTCCTACCCCCACAATGCACATAGCCAGTTGTGCAGTGCCGTATGTGGGGGTTAAAATTCCTTCTGGAATCCCACATGGACAAGGTTTAGCCAAGAATCATGAGATTGGGTTAGCCGTATTTCTGCATGACTACCTACCACTGCCACCACTTTCTGAGCTTCCCCCTTTCCCTCCCACCCAATAGCCAATTACATTCCTATCTGAAGACAGCACAGGTAGAGGGAGCTCTAACTCCAGTTACTCAGACATATTCCTCACTTAGCTTTAGTCTAAGGGGATGACTTAGGGGATGTCTATACTTACCTCCAGGTCCGGCGGTAAGCAATCGATCTTCTGGGATCGATTTATCACATCTCGTCTAGACGCGATAAATCGATCCTGGATCGATCCCGGAAGTGCTCACCATCGATGCCGGTACTCCTGCTCCGCGAGAGGAGTACACGCAGTCGACGGGGGAGCCTGCCTGCCGTGTCTGGACCCGCGGTAAGTTCGAACTAAGGTACTTCGACTTCAGGTACGTTATTCACGTAGCTGAAGTTGCATATCTTAGTTCGAAGTGGGGGGTTAGTGTGGACCAGCCCGTAGAAGATCTAAGCATCAGGTTTGCAGAGCCCCTGGGACCACAGATCCTGCCCGGGTCAATCCATCCCTTCAACATGGTGAGGCAGGGAAGTCGAGTACCAAGCCACTTACTGCTTCAGGACCTTTTGCTGCAGACTTTAAAACTGGGGCTTTGTTTGCTCTGCACTGACATTAACAATCCCAGGGCAGTTTTCTTAAGACTAAGAGTTTGTCCAGTGTCCCTGACCCAGATTTCCCTTCGCCCCACGGTGAGTAGCCTGCTGCATGTCGGTTGGCTGCTACCTTCATGCCAGAGATAGTTGCTTCTGTGATATTAGGTATCTGTGGATTGTGCAGAGTTTGAGGGTCCATCGGAGCAAAAGCTGTTATATAAATCGAAAAGACGATCTGGGTGAGGTAATATGTTTGATTGGACCAACGTCTGTTGGTGAGAGGGACAAACTTTCAAGCTACGCGGAGATCTTCTTCAGGTCTGGGAAAGGTACCCAGAGTGTCACGGGTAAATACAAGGTGGAACAGATTATTTAGCATAAGTAGTTAACACATAAGAAACCCATGGATCACCACACTTCCCTTCACAGATCCAGTAGAGACACCAAGAAATCTGTTATTGACAATCAGGTGCTACTGGGCCACTTCATCTTGAATGGTCCCTTAAAATATATGTTAAATACTTATGCTAAAAAACTGTTTTGAATGGACTAAGTATGTTTATTTCCAACTAGGGCTATCGATTAAACACAGTTACTTCACGCAATTAACTCAAAAAAATTCATCGCGATTAAAAAAACGAATCATCATGTGATCCATTCCCTGTCGCCCGTTCCCTGCTTCTGGCAAACGGAAGCTAGGGACACCATCCCTGCCCATCTTGCCATCCTTTTTAGATTGACAACCAGTTGTTCAGCCCCTCCCCGGGGCTGCTGCCCTCCCTGGTGCCCGAGCCTGCTCTTCTTGAGACAGCAGCATCAATTTTGTTCTTAGGCTTTTCCACAGTGCTCATCCCTGTTACAACTCTGTGCTGACTGGCAAACAAGGCTGTTTCTGTCAGGGTGGATCTTCATTGCCCCTCCCTACCTTCTGTGGTAGTCTCTAGTTTTACCTTTGCTGACAGGCTGACGTTACCGAAGTGTTAGAGATCTTTCCTATGCCCAGCGAATCCCACAAATGCTCTCCTAACATAGTGCAGGACAAATGAAACTGGAAAGGCTTCAAGGACTTTAAGGGCAATTACTGCCCCTTTCTCTCCCTGATCTTTGTCTCTTCTCCTTGTTTTTGGTCTCCTTTCCCCCCTGCCTCTCCCCCCTCCTCAGTTACCCTGTCTTTCTGCACATTCCATGTCTCTTTTCTTTCTCTCCTCCACTCCTTTTTTGTGTTTCTTTCCTCCCCTTTCATTTTCACTCTCCTCCTACACACCCACCCTGAGAGCTGGTGGCGGGTGGAATGTGCATACCTGTGCAGCTCCCATGCACCACTAGCCACTCAGAAGCAGTCGAGAGAAGCGTAATGAATAAGGTGTAATCCTTGTGGGCACCCAGCTAATACATTGGTGAGCACAATAAGGACAGATAAATAGGCTTCACTCTCCTTGTGCTGGCAATATTGGAACTGAGCTGCAGCACCGGTGTGAGTGATCCCCATGATTGAGGAAGGAGAAAGCATGAGGAAAGTATGAAGTTTCTGAAGCAGCCATGCTTGATCTAACCTCTGGCATCTGTGTGTGACTCTGAGTTAGAAGGGAAGCACCCACTTGCCATATCTGATTACTTGGAGAGTTCCATCACCTCATTTACTGTACTTGGTTTACCACCCCCGGAATCATGCAAGCCGCTAGCAGAATGATTACAGGAAGCTCTGTTAATGCACTCAGGCATATACAAGTGTGTCAGCAGAGTTAAAGGAAGCCGGGCTTTGCTTCACTTGATGGCAGATGAACAGCAGCGTCGCTGTACACTTCAGATCTTTTAAACTTCTTTGGCATCATGATGCTAGCTCGCAGATCCAAAATAACATTGCCTATGGTAACAGGAAAGTTCTCCCTCCCACGCACTGCATTACAAATGGATAATGGCCCTCAGAACCTACATGAACTCACCTGGGGGAACTTTGTCAATGTCCACATAAAAGCGCAAAATGGCAGATCCTAACATGAATGCCACGCCAGGTCCGATGATAGTCAGAGCAAACAGGATTCCTGCAAAAAGAAACAGAACCTTTCTGCCGAGTGGAAAATGCTGTCTTTGAGAGGAGTGCATGCAGGGGACATGAGATGCAAAATCACAGGAAAATAGGAACTGCCAAATGAGGTCAGACCCAAAGTCCATCCAGCCCAGTATCCTGTCTCTGACTGGGACCAGCACTAGAGAAAGGTGTAAGAACCCTGTAGTAACAGGTGTGGGTTAATTTACCCCCATATTAGGTCTCATCCTGGTATCTAATAATTAGAGATTGGCTTAAACCCTGAAGCATGAGTTCTAATATTCCTTCCAAAAATGTTGTTACCATTAATTATACCTCTGACTATTCTTGTTATCCATATAAATGTTCCATCTGTCTTTCCATCTTGCTAAGGTCTTGGCCTCGTGGGCTTCCTGTGGCAATGAGTTCCACAGTCTAATTACATGTCATGTGCAAAAGTATTTCCTTTTATCAGTTTTGAATTCCCCACCTTTTGATTTAATTGAATATCCCCTTGTTGTTGTTTTAAGCAAAAAAAAAAAAAGCAAAATCCTTTATCTACCTCTTCTATACCATAAATTATCTTATATTCTTTTACCATTTCTCCTTTCTAGGTAATCATACTTGCCACTCTTCTCTGAACCCCTTGTGACTTCTGCAGTACATCAGGGGCCAAACTCTGACTTCAGTTACTCCTCGTGTAAAACCTCCATTACATTCAAAAATGTACTCAAGATATATACTGGCACTGTTCAGATTAAAAACTGTGCCATTCTTTTTGAAATGTTTTTTTGCTACCTCAATTTATCTACTTCAACTTTTACATGGAAACCCTCTTATGACAGCTACTGATGAAAAGCATCATAAGAATCATATGAACATACATAAGAATCAATTCTTTGTTACACTGAATCCTTGTGAAATATGTTTCAGGAGTTTATGGCATTTATAGGAATTAAACTCTGGAGCAGCCAAAACTAAAAACACTTGAAATTTCTTGTAGTCTAAGGGTCTAGAGCAGTCACACCCTGTCATGGAACTGGTCCCTCCAGCCCAGCATAAGAGCTGCTTTCCTTTCTTACCATGGTGGGACTCAATTCTAGTCTTACCTAAATAGAGAGGTGAGTTTCTCTCACTGGCAAAATCATCAATGTAAGAGATCCCAAAGGGCTGGATGGGGACCCCTCCAATCCCTAGCAAAGCCTGGCCAATAAACAGGATCAGCAGGACCTCGCGGTTTTCTTTCACGGCATGTGGGGTGCAGTCTGTGTCACTGAGGTTTCTGGTGGATATAGCAGGTTGGCAGAGATCAGTAGAATTGCTGAACACACCTGTGGAGGCAAATGCAACACCCCTAAGTGCTCGAAGCCGAAGTTGGTGGACACCTAACCTTAGACATGAAACATCCTCTGTAAAATGGCGTCAGATACAGAGCTGCTGTTTGTCTCTCTGAGGGTTAGGTTGTGGCACTTAGCTACAGCCCCGACTGTGGAGTCACACAGCCCCATGGGGATCCCAGTCACTCTGTGCCTCCAGAGGATTAATTCCTCCCCATGCTCTCCAGAGCACAAGCAGTGATTGCAGTCTGGCATGCAGCTTGCTTTCTTGGTGCCCCAGCCCAGCGCCACCGCACAGCGCTTTCACCCTGCCACCTGGCATACAACACAGAGCATGCAGTCCCTACACTTCTCCAAAGGCAGGAGCTGAGATAGTCCTTGACTGTTGGCTTTTCCTCAACCCAGTGCTAGCTGCTGGGGCCAGGGAAAATCTGGCACTTAGTGATTTCTATAGCTATGTATGGTTTACAAATTAAACAAATGATGGGCTAAATTCTACTTTCAGTTACCCACTTCTGCCTCAGTGGACCAATGAAATTTCTCAAGTGTTACACAGGGAAGAAATTGGTACAATAGTTGTTTCTTTTTAAACATCTCTTTATCTAGTCAATAATAACCTACCTAACAACAATGGCAAATACATCTAGATATACATCAAATAAACATGAGGCCTTAATTTAACATCCACATTGGGGACACTGTGCAAGACAATCAGAAACCAAATAAAAATGTATTTGTTGAGCTGTGAAAGATAATGATGATAAAAGAGCGATGGCACTAAACAAAGGTTACTCAGTAGATAAGTACAATAACGGTCACACTTAAAAATGTAGATGGATGCGAAAAGGATAAAAATCAAGTCCAACTAAAGAGGCAGTCTGCTCTCGTCTACACTGACTTTGGTGGAGTTACTCTGGATTGATACCAGTGTAATGGAGCTGGAGATGTGAGACGAAAAAAAAATTGGGTATCATAAATAATTGTGAAATAATAGATAACAGATTTATCACAAAAGTAATTATCTACATAATTAAGGAATATTGAAAAGTGTAGCATAACAGCCGCCTTTGAAAGTTCTGGAATGTTTGTTGAGTCCCCAAAACAACACTGAATTCAGGATTTTTCCTCTGTGTTTGACAGATCAGTCATCTGACCCAGGGAACGGCTGCCCTATCCAAGGGCCTATCATGAAGTGTAGGTTGAACTTGTTTCCATACTTTCGTTAGACCTTGTTCCCTGGCTAAAGCTGTGAATTAGTCACTTCGTAAATCCTCCTTTGGTGGCTGTAACTGAGGAAATATTAATGGGAAAGTACAATGCAGACCTAGTCTGTGACCCCAGCTGTGTTCTGGCTGGTCTGTACTGGTGTAGTGACCCAAGGAAACAGGGAAAGGCCTCGTAGAGAAGTTTCTAAAGGATTTTGTAGAGTCTGATAGTAGGATTTCTATTATTACTGGGATTGGGGATTATGACCTTGAGGTCAAGGAGTAGGATGACTAACCTCCACCAGCGTATTCTCCTTCCATTCTCATCTTCTCACTTCTTCCATGAAGCCTCCTATGCCTGTAAATCCCATCCCTGACCTGGTCCTCCATATCCTACCATCTCCTCCTTCACGCCCCTTCCTAAAAGTTACTTCTTCAATCAGGCCTGCAAACACTAGTCCTCCCCCCAAGGAAGCATCAATGAAATCACAAATAAAGTAAGAAAGATTTAAAATCCGGGCACTTGTGCCTATGGTCACTGTTCTACCACTGCTGTTGGCTGTATCCAATCCTCTTCCTTCACCTACAGTTTAAAGCCCCGTCCTGCAAACCTTTGCTCACATATGTATTCTCCTTGATTTGGTCTGAACTCAGTGGGACTACTTGTGTAAGGACAACTTGTGTGAGTAATGATTTGCAGGATTAGACCCTTGATTGTAATCTCTTTGGGGTAGGGACCTAGGGTACATTTGGTGCCCTAAATAATCATAACAAAAGGGGAAGCAGGAAGTGGAAGCAGCAGCATATCTAAGAATGTAAATGCTTTAGAGCTCATTTTCATTTGTTCTGACTCCAGCTTAGGAGCTGTTTTCTTGTTATTCCTCTCTTGGCTTCACCTTGGTCAACGTTTACCTCTTGGGGCCGGTACATTTTAATTTCTGAAAACAAAAGTTCAATATCTGCTTCTTTGGTGTCATATTCCACATTTTTATGCTTTGCAGTTAATGAAACCTCAAGAAAAGATTTCCCCCTTTACCTGTTCCCAAAAGGTATATACATTTGGAGTACCTACTGGCAATGGACTGGTCATATTCGTAGAGCCCGGTTATAAAGTGAGGAAGAGACATGAGAAACCCAGCTATGGATACAAGAATAGCGCCGCAGCCAATGAAACGGGGCCTGTTCACTCTGCTTCCAAAGTAACTTACGAAGACTATCAGCAATGTGTTCCCAACCTGCAGTAGGAGACAGAGATGAAAAAGCCTCTGAAACACTTTGTAAATGACCTCCTTAGGACAGACAAGAGTACAGGAGAGTTGTGTGGGTGGGAGATCAAAAGAGAGAATTTTAAATACAGTAGAGGTTACCTCATTGAAGGAAGCGAGCAATCCGGATGTCTGACTGGATAAGCCAAACCGCTTCTCAATTGTTGAAATTGAGCTTTTCAGATAGCCAGATAGCAGGAGCTGGGACAGCTGGAGAAACCCATGGCAGAGCACAAAAAACTGCAGACACAAAAAAATAATCCACTCAGTATGGTTATTTCTATTGAAAGTTGTAACCTAAAAACAAACTCTTTTTTCAAACTTTCTTATATTTAAATAAAACAATCCCTTAAAAATAAGAAGTGTGTTGGTCATTGAACGTGTGGGAGCAACTTTAAAATATCACTACTGTTATTCATTTCAGAGTGGTAGCCGTGTTAGTCTGTATCAGCAAAAAACAAAGAGGAGTCCTTGTGGCACCCTAGAGATTAACAAATTTATTTGGGCATAATCTTTCGTGGGCTAAAACCCACTTGATCAGATGCATGGAGTGAAAAATACAGTAAGCAAAATATATATTATAGCACATGAAAGGAATTGCCTTACCAAGTGTGGGGGGGTCAGTGCTAACAAGGCCAATTCAATTAAGGTGGAAGTGGCCTATTCTCAACAGTTGACAAGAAGGGGTGAATGTCAAGGGAGGGAAAATTACTTTTGTAGTGCTAATGAGGTCAATGCAATCAAGGTGGATGTCGCCCATTTCCAACAGTTGACAAGAAGGTGTGAGTATCAGCAGAGAGAAAATTACTTTTTGTAGTGACCCATCCACTCCTAGTCTTTATTCAGGCCTAATTTGATGGTGTCCAGTTTGAAAATTAATTCTAGTTCTGCAGTTACTTGTTGGAGTCTGTTTTTGAAGTTTTTTTGTTGAAGAATTGCCACTTTTAAGTCTGTTATTGAGTGTCCAGGGAGGTTGATTTGTTCTCCTACTGGTTTTTTTAATGTTACAATTCTTGATGTCTGATTTGTGTCCATTTATTCTTTTGCGTAGAGACTGCGGTTTGGCCAATGTACCTGGCAGATGGGCATTGCTGGCACATGATGGCATATATCACATTGGTAGATGTGCAGGTGAATGAGCCCCTGATGGTGTGGCTGAGGACCTAACCACATCAGCCACACCATCAAGAGCTTGTCCACCTGACCCCTCACTTGGTAAGGCAACTCCCATCTTTTCATGTGCTATAATATATATTCTGCCTACTGTATTTTTCACTCCATGCATCTGATGAAGTGGGTTTTAGCCCATGAAAGCTCATGCCCAAATACATTTGTTAGTCTCTAAGGTGCCACAAGGACTCCTCATTGTTTTCACTACCGTTATTGAGTGTGGACATTGCTGGTGAGAGATTCCAGAGACTGGAGTAATTTAACCCCAGAGCAGGTACACACTTCTCTCCCGCCCTCCAGATACTGGACATTGATCCTGACCTGGTGGCACTATCCCTGGGGCTAGAGAGTAGTTCAGTCACCAGGTCCCTTAAATCCTTCTCTGCTGAAACTGCCAACAAGAGTGCCAGTTCTGCCAGCTGCGCTAGGGACATCAGTGCACTAGAAACTGGGCTTAGAAAATCCAACTGATTTCATATGGGACACTATCAACCTGCACTGACTTTGACGTGGTGGTCAAGAAATGGACAGCTCCATAGCCATTTCTACTTTCCATGACCGGAACCATCCAGTTGCCTGGCTTTTGCTGGGTTAGAGTCACTTACAGAGGAAATGTCCCATGCTTCGTTGTATTTCTTAACAATCATTTTGTTCCAAACAAAGTCAAAATAGAGGTTCCCCCAGCCAAAGCCTGAGTGCTTTTGATGACTGACTAGGGCTCAGCAGAGTGAACAGAGCCACCCCTGGCTATCTGTTACCTGTGTTCATTTCAGAACATTATGGGAGCAATTCAAAAAAACCTCCACTATCAGTGTGGATTTGTGCATCCATCCAGTCCAAATCCAGGATTTGTCACATCCTCAACTGTGTGTAACAGACCACACTACTGCTATTTCTATTTTCATGTATGGGTTTACCTTAGCTTCCGCTTGAGCGACTTCCCAGTGATACTTGGTATTTCCATAAATCTTTTCATCCCAGGTTATCAAATACTGGCACATATTATTCTCCCTATTTTACAGATCAGGGAATTGATGTACAGAGAGATTCAATGACTTGCCCAAGGAGTTATAATAAACGGGTGATAGAGTTGGGAACAGAACCCAGCTCCTTTAAGTCCTGTGCTGTATCCCTCAGACCATACCAGTGCCTTCGTTATTTGAATGAAAGTGGAAAAAGAGATGTTGACTTTAGGACAGTTGAAGAGATCATAGGCCCCTATTTGTCTTTTGTTGCACCATTTTCTACTGCATTTCACCATGCAGTGTGATAGGGGTTTTATATTTATTTGCTGGATCATGACATCAGGTTCTTTGGCTTGTATGTTCTAGAAAGAAGCTCTTCACCTTTGGAAAGGCAAAGAACTATTTACAACAATATTAACCCAGTGATAACGGGGGTGGGGAGAGAGAGGAAACATCTTTACATTTGGAAATGCATAGGGTCATCTGTGCTTGGGAAACTGGTTGATTCTCTAGCTACCTATTGTACATATATAAAGTGTCTCCAAAAAGGACAGAGATTATGTACTCTCTCTCTCTCTCTCTCTTCCTTCATTAATTGGCCAGCAGGATCGTACTCACTGATTCCCTACAGGTTTCCTCAAGAACAATAGCATGGATAGTGGCCTTCCCTCTCCCAACCTGCAGAGACTGTTCCTCATGGTGCCCCCAGAAAGTTGCTTCCATGAGGTCAAGGGGAGGGAAGAACAAGGCTTCAGATGTGGCATCCTCCCTCCTGTATCTCCTCATCTTGTTCCATCAGACTGATCCTCCTTTCAATGGAATGGAGGGGACAGTCTACCCCCGGCTCTTTATGTCAGTGCATATCTATGATAGTTTTGAATTTTGTAAAAAAAATCCTTCTTCCTACCATTGAGGTTACTTTAATGATTTGCTGTGCAGCAGAAGAGCTCTCAAATTTCCATGCATCAGCCCTGCTCTTTGTACTGCAGCATAGACCGCTCCCTTAAGCACCTTCTGTGTTAGGTCACTCTGGACAAGCTGAAGTTTCAGACAACACTCGGTCTGATTAAGAGGTCATTTTCCTGCATGAGAGTTTCTGATAGAAAAGATACTGCACATACGGAGATAAAAGGAAGGGCAGATAGCAATAGCTAGAGTCAGGCATAACGCCAGCTGGCAATATATGGATCTTCTGTACACATGGCTTGCAGCACCTCTACAATTTCTGAACCGATGTGTTGAAACGTCCCATGCTACATTCGTCCCCTCTGGGGCAGGGACTATCAAATGAGGATGTATCATATGGTGATGCCATCTCAGACTAAAGATGATAACTCCAACCTTGACTGACCTGTGATCTAAGCCAGAATTTGAAAAATTAAACTGTCCCTTCTATAGCACATCTCCTCCAACAGTCTCAAAGCACTTCTGAAACACCGATAAGCTTCACAGCACCTGAATGTAAGTATATTGTACCAATTTTATTGGCTGTGCAATGAGTCAGTGGTGAGAAGAGAATCTAGAAGTCCAGCTGCCCAGATCCCATTGTTCTAACTATGAGGTAACTCCCCTTCCACTTGTAGAGAGAAAAGGTTAGCACATTTAGCCATTATACCTCCAAATCTCTCTCTCTCTCTCTCTCTCTCTCTCTCTCAGTGCACTATCAGGCCAGAAATTATTGCATTGAAATATCTTCCTGTTCTCTTTCATTTGTAATACCTTCGTAGAAGATTGACAGCGAGAGAAATTGTATTGTCAATCTCACCCATACCCATTTGTCAGACATAGATCACAATGCTCCGGTATCCTTGGAGTTTGAAATTAACAAAGCATTTCCACTTGCCACCTCTTGGGTTTCTTCCCTTATCACTGGGTAACAGATCAGCATATATTGTAGGTTCTACCAAAGCAGAAGCTTTTTTGTTTGTTTGTTTGTTTTGTTTTAAAATTTCGTAGTGACACAGCAATAGATTTTGAAGGCGCTACTAGTTTTTTGGACCCAAAATGACATTTCCTATGGGATTACAACAGTTTTCAGGTATTTTAAATTGATGCCTTCAAGTGCCATAAGCCCCACATTTCTAAGTGTGTTTTCTTTTAGTTCAGTAAATTGTGATTTACTAATTTGCATTAATCCAGACCAAACATCTGAATCAGAACACGGATCTCATTGTTTCTATGTGTCTCAGAGCTCAACATCTGTTTATATACATTCTGTCCAGGTTCTTATACAGCCCTCATCACCATGTTAGCTGGGTGCCTTCCAGAAGTGCACTGAGCAACGTGACTAGCAGCTGTCATTTGTGGTTCTTTGTTCTCTTTTCCTCTCTCCAGCAGGAAATTATGTATTGTATTATTTGTATACTGTGGTGTGTGTTTCTTTTAGTAAGCCATGGTGCAGAGCAGGAAGCTGATAGTTCCTCTCTACCAGTAACACATTGAGTCACAGTCAACTTCAAACCAGAAATAGGTCAACAAACACAAGGAAATCAGGGAAAAAACAACAAAAATGAATAATAATTTGCAGGGATTTACTGGAAGAACAATTCCAAGATCTGAAGACATTGGGCCCCAGTCCATTGCAATGGCCTTTGGGGGCAGGATCCTTGGCAGCAGAAAGTTCATTGGAGGATTACAGCAGCACAAGAAAGCCACAATCTTCCTTAAATTAGGGACCCCCAGCAGGCCAGTGCAGCTCCCAGTATGGCAGTGCTTATGAGGGAGGGGCACAGTCAGGGGATATGATGATTTAATGCTCCTATGGCACCCTATGGAGATTAAAGCTACCCACCCCCAGCGGAAATAGCTGCCTGCCCTCCATTAGATGAAGGATTCTGCCATTCCCTGGAACACACTAGATCAGGCTGGCACAGGGAGGTGCAATGTGCCCATAGGGAGCTGGACCAGCATCTGGACTCTTTCTGAGAAGGAAGAAAAAGAGATTTTTAAATTCTTCTGTGATAGGGGCCCTGGGACAGGGAAACAGACAAGATGGCCTTAGGGCTTTTCCATCTCGTGTGTAGACATTTTAAAAAACCCTAACAAAGCAGAGCACTGTATACGTGATTCTCATGGAGGGACTGGTTGAGAGAATTAACCACCCAT